TCATAGGAGGGTTCTGGGCCCCAGGGGCCTCCAGGTTCCCCATCTGTGAAATGAGACCGTCAGCCTCACAAGGCTCATGGGAGGGTATCGGACCCCGTGGGCCTCAAGGTTCTCTCTGTGAAATGGGACAGTCAGCCTCATTCACAAGGCTTATGTGAGGGTACTGGACACCCTGGAGTTGTTCTCTACTCACCTGCTATGAATCTCTCAGCAAATCCTTTGGACTTGGCCTTGCCTCCAAAATACAGCCCATGTCCACCCATGCTCAGCAGTGACATCGTCCACATCTGTCTCCTGGAATACAGGACAGCCGCCTCTCTGCCATCCTTTGCTGCATTCTTTTGAAGCTCCAGGCTCTGTTCTGCACATGGCCGCAGGCTGAGGAGCCTTTTAAAAATAAAATCAGCCAGACACTATGGCTCACGCCTGTAATCCCAACACTGTGGCAGGCCAAGGTGGGAGGATCACTTGAGCTCAGTTCAAAACCAGCCTGGGCAACATAGCAAGACTCCATCTCTACAAAAACATAAAAATTGTCATGGTGCAAGCCTGCAGTCCCAGCTACTTGGGAGGCTGAGGCAGGAGGATCACTTGAGCCCAGGAGGTTGAGGCTGCAGTGAGCCGTGACAGTGCCACTGCCACCAGCCTAGGGACAGAGCAGGAACCCCCCCCCAAATATATATACACACACATACAAATGCTTAAAGCATTTACTGTTTGGGTCTTTACAGAAAAAGTATGTATGTGGGTATAAATAGACTAAAAATACAAATAGCAAGGCCACTCAATGCATCCAGAGGGCTCTCAGCTGAACTTGGACTATTCGAAATCTTATATTCAGGCTTATGAAGCCCCCCTGAACTTGGCTCCCATGCCCTGCTTTGTTCCCCCTTGCTCATTGCTGTTCAGCCACATGGATCTTTCCATCCTTGGAGCACAAGCTCATTCCAACCTAACTGCCTGTGCACTTCCTGCTCTCTCTGCTTGAGATCTTGTATTTCAGGTCTTACCTAGGTTTGAGTCCCAGCTCTGCACCTTTCTGGGTATGATCTAAAAGAGAGTGAGGAGTACTACAGCCTGTGGGCCAGATCTGGTCTACGAGCTAAAAATGGTTTCTTCTGCCCGGCGCGATGGCCTACGCCTGTAATCCCAGGACTTTGGGAGGCTAAGGTGGGTGAATCACAAAGTCAGGAGATCGATCCAGACCATCCTGGCCAACATAGTGAAACCACCCCCCAACCCCTGTCTCTACCAAGAAAAATGCAAAAAATTAGCCGGGCATGGTGACACGTGCCTCTAGTCCCAGCTGCTTCAGAGGCTGAGACAGGAGAATTGTTTGAACCCAAGAGGCAGAGGTTGCAGTGAGCCGAGATCACGTCACTGCACTGCACTCCAGCCTGCCGACAGAGCAAGACTCTCTCTCAAAAAAAAAAAAAAGTTCCTTTCCCTACTTCCTCTCCCTGCCCCCCCTTGTCCCCTCCTTTCCCTTGTTCCCTCCCTTCCCTTTCTTTTATTTATTTATTTCAGAGTCTTGCTCTGTTGCCCACACTGGAGTGCAGTGGCACAATATCAACTCACTGCAACCTCCGCCTCCCAGGTTCAAGTGAGTGTTCTGCCTTAGCCTCCGGAATAGCTGGGATTACAGCTGTGTGCCACTACAGCTAATTTCTGAGTTTTTCAGAGACAGGGTTTCACCATGTTGGCCAGGCTGCTCTCGAACTCCTGACCTCAGGTGCTCTGCCCACCTTGACCTCTCAAAGTGCTGGGATTACAGGCATGAGCCACAGTGCCCGCCAATTTTTTTTTTTTTTTTTTCACATTTTTAGCTGGTTGGGGAAAAATAGCAAAAGAAGAATATCTCCTGATGTGAAAATGGTGTGAAGTTTAAATTTCAGTGTCTGGAAATAAAGTTTTATTTGAAAACAGCCATGCTTACTCATTTTATATGTTGTCTCTGGCTACTTTTGAGCTATGACATTAGAGCTGATTTTTTTTTTTTTTTTTTTTT